TGTAAATAGGATATCAAGTCCGCATCTTGTACAGCAGTTAACCACTAAGAAGAATGTATGCAATGTTTTAATTACTGAAACTGCCCTTCTGATTTGATTTGAAACTGTCTCATTGCTATTGTTTATCAATAAAATTATGGCAAAAAAAATAAAATAATAAAATGAAACTTAAGCGAAAAAAAAAAAAAGATGTTCACTGTAGCCCTAAAGGAACTGTGTTGGAAGTTTTCCTCTGAAATAATTTAAGAAATAGAAAGCACTTAATGCTATCATCTAATAATCATTTGTAATATGTAGGGGTATAAATACAGCTCTGAATATTCTCTGATCCAATATGAGATCGCACATCTGAAATACAAAGGCCTTACGGACTACTGGACTATATTGGAATATTTCATTGAATTCATGCACCTACAATATTTAAATGACAATGGAATACGCTTCTCTAACAAAACTAAACAAAAAAGGGGGATACAAATGAACGACTATTTTGTATCCTTATATTCAAAATAAGTAGGGCAAATATACAGCTGCATTCTCTTAATTCAATGAATAGAGAGATTTGTTTTAATAGTGTTTGTGAACAGGATATCATGTCTGCATCTTGTACAATGAATAACCACTAAGACAACACTATACAATGTATTAATTATTGAAATTGTGCTAGCAATTGGTTTTGAAACTGTCTCGTTGCTATTTGTTTCTCAATGAAATTATTTCTTTAAAAATTAAAAACAAAATAATGATAAACTCAAAGCCTTTATATTGAAGTGGATGCCACTTGAAAATATACTCATAAATGAAATAAATTAGACACACGTGTAAATATGGTATAGTTTCCCTAGTATAAGAATTCAAGAGAACAAATACAAATAGAAAGGTATAATACAAGTAAAAGGAAAGCAGGATCTCGAGGACTAACTCATCAAGAGAGGGAAAGGAGAAGAGCTAGGAAACATGACAATGCCAAGCCATACAGTTATATGTAAAAGATGAGCAAGGCAATGATCCTGAGAATATTCAGAAGATTTTTGAATCCAGCAGTTAAGTGGA